TGTTTTTTTTTTTTTTTTTGTAGAATAATGTTGAATTTTAAGAAATAAAAATACATTTAAATACGTACAAAATATTAAACTTACAATTTAAAAAAGTTCTATTTTGTTTCTTAATTATATTGATTACTATAACAACCGGCGACCAATTAGAATGAGTCAGACGACTTTTTTAGCACGAGATGTTTACGTATAACGAAAATTTGCATATATCTTTGCGGAATAATGGCGAATTTTAAGAAAATGTAAACTTTCAACTCCATTTTTTTAAAAACACATCATCGTATTAAAGGTATATCGTGGTTTTTTTCATAATTTATTTCTTTGTTTTGTATATAATTAATTTCTCGGCCAAGATTGGAGTCGCATTCTTCGTCTGCCTACGTTTACTCGGGATGTAATATTTTTGTAAACAAAGCCGTCTTTGCAGAAAGCTTTTAAAGTAAATCAAAGGCAATTTTCCATTTACGTCCGACATTTCGAAAGAAATAAGTATATACATTTGTGTTTCTAATCATACACATGGCTCGAGAGCGTGATTCGACGCCAAAACATTTTAGTTGTGTGACGTAGACAAAGTTAAACTTTTGTAGATTGCGATAACGACTAACAGCAGATAAATAATGCGATTATTTAAAGGTTTATTGTCTTGTAGGAATTGACCCATGCCTTTAAGCATTTACTTCCAAGTACTACATTTTCGTGCATAATTCTCTCGATATGGCTTACGGGCATATAATTAATTACTAAATTTATAAGAAAAACAAAAAAATGTAGATTGGACCCGGGCCTACTTGAAGGATTTGGCAGACACTTCCGGTATGCCCCGGAAACGGATGATTGAGATTTTTGACGGGCATATCGGTGGGTCCCCGATCGATCACGCGTAATATGGGGAAATTGGAAAAAAAAAACGGGTGGCCTTCTGCGTATGTTTCCAAAATGGCGGTTTGCTGGGTGCCCGTGTACATGTTGCTGGAAAGCGAATCGCCACTGATCAAAAATAACTCGCTAAACAGTGGGAGCCTATTTGGAATCTGTGAACTTCGGAATATTGAGGTTCAAGTATTGTTTTAAAACGTTCTTTTCGGATAAAATGCTTTTTGATTAATCTGGACGACGTAGAAGTATGATTAATACGTTAATAAAGCATCGAGTTTATAATAATAGTATCTTTATCAAATGGAAAAGTGAGCAGAATTTTCCTGTATTAGAGCTGTGGGTCCACTTTGTTTATCCAAATTTAAAATGTATAATACTCATTCTGTTATGTTTTCATTATATATTGGATTTTGTAAATTACTGTTTTCTTCGAGATGGTTTATTTTTTTATAAATCAATCGAATGAAATTCTGTGCAAAAAGAGCTATCTATGGATGAAATCTAACTTACAGAGCCAAATTGGAAGTGTGAAATCTATTTATCAATTCAATGCCAATGCTCCGTCTTTTATGAATCGTAAGTTCTGTTGTAAGTTCTGTTAACGATGCTGTCAGATCATTTCGGAATAATTCATTTGTCTTTACTGTTATCCACCAGCAATTATCTTTTACATAAAAGCAATAGATTACGCGTGACAAGCGTGGAGAGTCACACTGAGTGAAGTGAAAAAATATACGATCTTGTCCGTGTTTTGTACTAATTTTATACTTTACTGTGCATAAGATGCCGAGTCATTGTTAGAATTAAGAAAACAAGAGAAGGATAGATTTCTTTACAGGCAAATTTTGTGAATGAGGATATGTTTGAAAAGTTCGGCCTTTATTTACTAGAAATAAAATTGTCTTTATTAAGTTCCAAAGACAAGATTCCCTTCTTTTAGGCCTATAGATAGAAATAAGGGAGTTGAATTATTCCCGCCAAGCACGGAATTGTTATATTATTTTATACTGTATATTGAATTAAGTTCGGTAATCGTTTACATATATTGCTGAATATTTGCTTCCTATTTTAAATCGGAAGAGTTTTGAAGAATGTTTGAAAAAGAAGAAATCGTCGTGATGACATTATAAAAGCAACTGGTCTCGGTCCACTCCAGGGTGTTTTCCTGTTTATGCAAAAAGTCTGTAGCTGGATAGCCAATATAAGCCAAGTATGTGAACACTATCATACCCGAGGTGAAGACGTGACTGTAGAGAAGCCATTAGAAACCCACCCAGAGCAGGCAAGGTTCCCATAGCCCAGACCTGTCATCCTTTGCCGACAGAGAACGGGTCCAGCTCTTACTATTGTCCTAATTCTATTACTCGAGTGATAACAAGCGCAGATAAGAAGGAGGAAATGATAGAGTCGAACTCCGACACTCTGCAGCGATGGGGTGAAGAGATATCGAGGAAGAAAGCAAATGACAAATGCTACGACTGCACTTAGCCAGGCACGATCGTTAGAACACTCCTTCGACAACTCTTCCTTCATCATTTGGCAATTTTAAATCTATTTAAGTGCAATTTAAAAAAACTCTATTTTTTTAAATTCAAGTTTATTAATTTTTCAGACGAACACGTCAGGTTTTACGAATATAAACATAAAATAAATCTTAAAATTCGCTAAAGGTCTTGAACTGTATACATAAAATTATTTTTTATTTCTTCTGATAATGAAAAATAAATAACGGGTTTTAATCTATTAATCAACTTTCAATTCCTATTTTTTAAAATATTAATTATATAATTTTGTTAATAATAATAATTATTATTATATACACGGAATTCTAAAGTTCTGTTAAAATTTTAGAACAAGAAAAATGTTTCTACATTTTTATTATGTTCATTAAATAAGTAATATATAATATTGTATATTTTAAAATAATTTCTTTCATACTTTTTGCGAATTACAATGCAGATTTGCGTACAAAATTGTTTTAAAAAGTGATGAAATTAATTAGCTTAAGTAGGTTTAAGCTATTAAATGATCAATAGCGTTGGCTTGCTTGATAATTAAGACTGAATTTGCATATTTTTCAGGTATTTTTTATCAACAATTTAAATATAAATAAAGCAAAGTAGATTAATATTTATTCTTATTTTATTTATTCATTATTATTATTATTATTTTAACATTTTAAAGTTTTATTCTTTAGCTAATTATTCTATATGTTTATTTGCAAATTTACAATGTTAAAAGCTTAAGAACATTGAAGTAAATGCAAACAATCATGCACAATAAATTCATTTGATGTTTCGGGGTTCGAATATTAAAGTTGATTATCAAGTAACAAATCAAAACAAAGATATAATTTTAATAATAATAAATCAAATAACAATTTATATTAGTTGATATTTCATTAGAATAAGATATTGTGTTACTTTGACTTTCATCTTCGCTATCAGTTATGGACAGGCAAGAGCCCGAATATTATACTGTAATGATGTAGCGAATAAGTTAATGTATAAGGGCAGCCCAAAAGTCAATTAACCATTATAAAATTAACTTGTTGACTATTCAATTATATTTTATCATTAACAAATTAGCAAAAAATTGATAAACTGCTTACAAAATCATGGTTACCTGACTTTCGGATGAACCTGTACATAGCATTTAGTTACAATATAGACAGTGTAAGTAGAGTAATGCTATAAATAATATTAATAGAAATTTTTATGTAATTAAATAATGCAGATAGACATTTACAAAACCAGCAAAAAATTATAGATGATTCAGAAAGATTTCTTCACTGAAGTTTTCTGCTTAGACATCGTACAGTACATAAACTGCAATCTCTGTCCATAATTGATGGCGAAGGTGAAGGTCGAAGTAACACAATATCTCATTCTAATGAAATATGAACTAATATAAATTGTTATTTAGTTTAATTATTATCTAATATTGCATTATTAAAATTATGTCTGTTTTTGGTTTACTGCTTATTAATCCATTTATATTTAATTCACTAATTTCCTTCATAATATAGGATGTGTGTGTGTGTGTATACCGGCATGTGAATAAATTTATTACATGTACAATAAAAGGCATAAAAGAATAAAATATAAATGTAATTTGCGTACACCCTATAAGGATCTGTGATATTTATATAGTCCTAATAGTTATTAACTTTTAATTTTAGATTTCATTACACTTGTTCTTATTTTTATATTCACAAAAGAAAAATTAATAATTATAAATACAAGTAAAATGCACAGAAGGAGTATTTTATTTTTATTTCTTTGTTTCTTGGTTATTCTAGATTAATTTAAAATGAAATTTAAAAGAAATGATACTTCCAGTTTAAGCAATATTCAAGGAAAATACAGGTATGTAATTTTTTTTTACTCAGATTTTAATTACTTTCGCTTTGTAAGATTCGAAAGAAACTAATTTAATTACATTGAAATTTCATTTAAAATAAAATTATGTTTTTTGCTGCTGTTTAAATAAAAGATAAATTTATGAATTAGATTTAAATATATAACTTAACCAAAAATGTTAATTTTCTTATATAATTAATTAAAAACGAAAATATAAATTCTAACCGGACCAATTATAGCGTGTATAAATGGAATTTGAAAATAGTAAATACATATCTACTTAGAAAGAAAATTAACAATATAAGCTATATAAACTATTTAGAATTTCCTATCGTCACTTTCATAACGAATAACTAATATTTAACATTTTATAACCGATATATGTAAAATGAACGACAGTTTTTCTCGGTGTCAGTGAGCATCGTGGTAGTGTATACGCTATATATTCGAATTTGAATTCACATTTATCTACTTATACGTCAATTTTTATTCCAAAATGAAATACGTTTACTACTATTGTGACTTTTAATTATTTAATTTGTGATTCCACGTGTTTAACATAATTTTTTATATTGTTGTCATTTTAATGAATGCTTTTATTATTACTGAATTTTATTTTCATTAGGCTTTCAAATATAAAATCTGTAATGTCTTTTGTCCTTTAAAGCATTATATTTTTTTGTGATTAATCGACTATTTTTTACGGATTCGAAATCTTACACATCTTATTATGAAATGCCATAGATAGTCCATATTCTGTTTAATTATGCATACTTTTTTTAATTTTTCGTTATATATTAAGAAAATTTGAACATGGCATCTTCTGTAATACATAAAATAATTATTAAAATCATATTTTACCAACTAAATCTATTCCTTATTAAATGTTTAGATGATAACTAAGATCTCAAACTTTTTTGTAGTAGTAAAAGTAGTAGAACTTTTTTCTTTAATTTTTAATTTTGCATACGATCAAATTATGCATTTTTAATTTATGGGTAACATTAGTAATGAAAAGTAGAAAAATTGAAAAATATTTTAAAATATATAATGTAATTTACTACAGAAGGTATTCCAGGCGCCGTTTAAGACCTGTTTCATCAAATTTGGACTTCAATTTAATATGTTTTTTTTATCAATGCTTAAAGTTCATGTCTAGCAATTACATTATTTAAAATACTGTACTTTTTATCTTTTCCTCTCTTTAAAGATGAGATTTCCGGGTTTTCTTTACGTGTGTTATACGTAAATAAGAGTCTGTTTCTCATGGAAAATCCTCCCGGAAGGTATCCCACTAATCCAATCTTCTCTTTAAAAAGAATTTACCAGCAAGTGTATGGTTATTTTCTTACTGTAAGATCTTTATAGATTGTGTAGAGACCCATAAGCTAGTTTATCTTTTTACATAATGCTAATAAACTTGAATATTTTATTTCATCTGATACAAACGTTTAATTGCAAAATTCAATGATATTTTCATTTAAAAAATTGCTTAAAAATTAAGAAAATATTTGATAATTTTTAGCTTGGAAAATATTTAAAGCGAACTTTTTATTTTGGAATGTAGATTTATAATACAGAAAGAAATAGATTATAATTATCTAATTAAAAATCTTATAATAAATTCCATATTCGAATTATCTTTTTATTAATAGAAACTTCAATGCTCGGATTTCTCCCTTTTTATGTGTATTGCGGAACTGACAAAGATTTAATAAATTGTGTTGAGACGAACTGACGTAGATGCGATTAAAGAAAATTAAACAAGTTTATTCTTAAATCTTTAAAAATTACTAATAAATTAAATCCAAATATAGTTTAAAGAAAATATTAAAAGGAGTTAGAAGACGGGATAAGGAGTAGCCTATCATCAGAAAAAACTAGTAATTTATAGTAGTAATTTATACAGTAGAACTTAGTTAATCTGGCACCTACGGGAACTAGTGGTGCCGTATTGACTAATGTCTTTGTATTTCGAAAAATTCGTTGTTATATATTTTGCATCAGCGCAGCGGATTCTGCTTTATCCTTCTGACTTGTTTTACGCACGTTCTTTAAACAATACAGTGCACAACTATAGTGTTAAGATTGATTGAAAAACCCGTAAATGCGTTAAACACGATATTGCGCAAAACCGACATTCACAATAATCGTGTGTATATATTAAAAATATATGCACACGATTATTGTGAATGTCGTATTGTGTACACAGGTATTGTATTTCCGTACAGTCGTTAGCGCACCGCTTATCCAAACAAATCCCGATTGGCGGAATACTAATATGCCGGACTATCGTCTATTTTTAGGATGACTGGATTATCGAATTAACGAACTTTTACTGTAGTTAAATGAATGGTTTATACCAATGTTTCCAGCCCGATATCAGTCCGTTGAAAACTCGAAAAGTTAGAATACGATGAAGTAATGAATTAACAATTAAAATAAATTTGTTAATTTAAAACTTTATTATTATTTCCCGAATGAAATAACTTATTACATAATATTGAGCAAAAATTACGAACTTTTTCCATCTCGAATATACCACATACGTAGTGTAAATAAATGCTGTTCGTGGCGCATTTCAGACGTTTAATCAATCGAGATTTCCTCAAGAAAAGTTACCATAAAACTTTGGGAAATATTTGATTATTAGAAATATAGATTTATGTAATCAAACCGTAATTTTGATTTTATTGGCATTTTTATTTAAAAGATAAACGGGTCTAAATATTTTATATTCGTAAAACTATTATCACACGATCGTTTTCTATAAAATTACAAACATATGATATATGAGTATAATTAAATATATAGGCAATATGTTTAATAGAATATATTAAAATTCGTTAGGAGATTTGTGAGAATATGGTAAAGCAGACTTACCGAAATGAATCATTTATATTCTTTAATAATTTAGTCCACAAAGGATGTATTAAAATTTACTTTTTTCGTCTCACGAAAACCCTAAAGTTTACGTTTATGCTGTAAAGTTTCAGTTTTAACTTTTAAGAAAGGTATTTTATTGGTAATAATAAAACGAGATTAATTCAAAACTTCTTTATTTTTAGATAAAGATACAAATAGATAGCCGTGTATAACCCTTCCTATACAAGCTAACATTGCAGAAAATATTTTTGATGTTTGTTGGTGGTTCCTTTCGTCCCTTGCAATTTGTTAACCTACAGATGAATGAATCTATGCGAAACAAGACGTGGACAGATAAGCCACCTTGTCCCATAAAACAGTAGAAAAAAACACTATCCACACTATAAACAGATGAAATATGATAAAATATATATTTATATTTATATTTTTTAATAATATTTGTTCCTTTGATTGTCCTCGCATTTTTAAATGTAATTCTTAAATATACATGCAAGCATGAAGATGGATCGATGATGATGAAGAGTTGACAATATGTCATACACTCGTAGTCCAACAGCCGATGGACTTAATGCACAATTTTGTTCTGGATTGCTTCATTTTTCTTTATGTCTGCTCGAAAAAAGAAAAGAATAATAAAATTTTAGTGTCGTCATTATTTTCAGTAGAAATTATAAGATACGCTTTATTTTTATTTAAATATTTTGGATTAATTTTTATTTTTAATTTTAAAAAAATGTGTATATTTTTCCAAAGTTACGTTAGAAATTGTAACGTAATTTGCTGTGAGGGAATTCAGTTTAAATTGGTGCAAAACGTAATGAAACCTATTTTCTGTATTTTTATACTTTTAAGGGTTGAATAGAGTTTAATAAAATATTAAAATTTTTATGATTTTATTTTATATCGATATCTTCGAGAAAATATGCATTTTGATAGAAAGATTTAAAAGAAATGTTTCGTTTGATTTACTATTTAAATGTAGCAGAATTACGAAAATATATTGACGAGGTTTTATGGTATTTTGTATACTAAGGGGAAAAGTAAGTTATTTTTATACTTACTTTCTTAATATAGAGTTGTATAAGATGGGATGAAGAATTCATATATAGTAAAGTATAAAATTTAAAGTAAACTAATTAAATTTTAAATTAATTTTGTACTTCAAAAGTGAATGTGAACTGCGATTTTCTCATAAACAGTGCAATTTTCGTGATGTTTTTAATTAGGGAAAATCAGTATTAGATGGTGAACAAAAGTTTATTGACATTCGATTTATTCATCTATTTTTACAGCAATTGCGCGTAAACAGCGCACACAACAAACACGGCTTTCAACTAACACAATATATAAATACTTGGCGTTATATTTTAGTTATACAGTGATTGAACGTATTCACCATCTAACCCTCATTTATCCAATTGCCTTTATTATTGATGAATATTTCAAATAAGTTCTCGTCTCTTTAGTTTTCATATATATGAATAAAATAAGTTTAAATGACTTTCTCATAATTTTTCAGACTAATAGTCTATTAGTGTGCTAATTGCTTTAATTCCTGGCAAATAAAATGCTTATTTTCTGTTTTAAAACAAGTTTAGTTTCTACGCTTAATTTTAAGAAACAGTTATTGTTTTTGGTAAGATTAAGATTTATTTGTTAGTAATACTTAAAACTTTTCATACTTTTTTGCATCTTATGGTATGAAACATCTAAAAAATCCGTAATCCTTTAGTCGGATGCGTTATTGGATGGCCAATGGATACGGCATCCGATCTTGTTACTTGAATCCGTTTGAAAAGAAATAAAAGAAAATCTTGTAAAATAATTATCATTAAGTCCTTATAAAGTAGTGCGGGATTTACGCGCTGATGATTATCTATTTAAAAGTTATTTTATTTATATTCCTAAAAATTAAATAGTATTGGACTACCAATATCTTTTGTGCATTCGTTTATAATTTAAGCATATAATGTTTTAATTTTTTTAACAATTAAAAAGTACTGTAAGTTTTAATTAAAGATTATAGATAATTTTCACTGGTGATATTGAGGAATCACATTTAAAATATATATTCTTAGCATTACATTTAAACCTAAATGCACTTATCCATTAATACTACCAGTAATGACTTCTGTGCACTACGATCACTTCATAAAGAAATTAAGAGTAAATTTGAACTAAATTAAGAAATAATTAGTAATATCTTACATGAATTTTGTGCCATTCACCAGTAAATTTGCTATTTTTTTCACCGACATATAAAATTATTTGACACTTAAGTAGCCCTAAGTCCACTTCACCTATTCTGGATATTTTGATACGTGTTATTTTGCATAATTTTTCAAGAAATAAAAAATTACGATGTATGCGATTATTAAAAATTTAATAAAAGTTTTGAATTCTCATAAAAATTATACATTTTTACTAAATTCTGCTTTTATAAATTGTATTGTATCGCACTGTCTCGGATGCATGTATACTTAAATACTTTCCTTGTAATGTCTGCACTTATATGAATATAGCCTAAGTGTGTAATATTCAGAACGTGCCTCGGCTATTCTAACAGACCATTAAATGACCAATTTAACAAGATTCTATATGAAAAAACGAGGGAAAAAACTTGCAAGGGTGTACTGTACATTGCAATTAACAAGCCAAGTCGGTTAAGTAACACGATTGTGCAAAACACGGAAACGTGTTAGGCCTATCGGAACCAAGATGGTCACATTTGTGGATGAGTAACCCTAGTAACATTTTGCTTACCCGCGGCCCAAACTAATCGCCGTATTGTTGATTCGTGTAATTTAATACTAACATAATGTCTTTCCGGATGTCATGTGACGCTGTCGTTAATAACTGATTTAATGCGTTAAATTTCCAATGGAAAAATATAATGGTCTGTCTGCCACGAAGTTGCAGTTGTAAAAAAAATACTTTTTGAACATTCTTTGCGCGTATCTAAAAATAGGATTTTGCAGACAATCTACACTACTGACTAAACAAATATGACTCTATCTTATTCTTTTCTGATAGCTATTGTGTATACAGACAATTGTTCTATTGAGTATAATAGAAAATTGTTAAAGCGCATTAATCGGTTTTGGTCAGTCATTATTTTTTATAGGTAAGCATAAATATATATCCGGTCAATTATGACTGATAATTGCTTCATTTGTTCAGAAAAATATTGTGTTTTTTATTATATTGAATATCGTTCATTATTTGTTATAATTTTCGATACTTTTTCCATAGTTTTGGAGCTGTAGCCTAAATGTAACTGTTAAAAATTGCCAAAATAATTAGAAATGTGTAAAATCTGTTCTATCATTTTACACAAAAAAGGCTATTTTACACTGTAATGAACTCATTTTTGCTAGAAAGTAATAAGAATTACTTAAAATTTATTCTGTATCCTTTTTGATATTTTATACTTTTATAATTAAATTTGTAAATATATTGAGCTAGATGAATTATTAGTGCTACTGTTTTTCAACTCACCAAGAATTCCTTTCGTGACTGGAAAAGTTTGTAGTTCTTCCTAACATCTGCGGTGATGTATTCCTAGAAGTAGCTTCTCCAAACCTTACTTTCTTCCCCGTCGTACCCGAGACTAGACTTTGGTTTTCTGTCTGCGAACCGTAATTCGTTAAGGCACTACTATCCTGCTGCGGTGGTTCCCTATGATTCCAGGCTAATGCTTCGTTGTGAGACCACGCAATTTGATTTTCTGCTGTTTGATCTTTTCTGGGACTCCTTCTTTCCCTACAGTGATCGGAAGAAACGCTACTGGTCGAGGAAAGAGAACTTTCTCCCGTTTCCAGGTGACTATCTCTGGCTAAAGAAGTAGTTTTATGGACGGATAGTGACCTTTCCGAATACTGATATCCGTTTTTATTAGCATCGCTAATATCGTAACATGAATAACCAGCCGGAGTATTTCTGAAAGTGCACCATAAATCCGGTTTGGGGGATAAACTATATCTTCCTCTAATCGCATCTTCGGACAAGAGTAAATGATATCGCGTTGGATCAAGGGGAGGGAAAGACATTCTTTTTGTGCTTATATCTTGGCCGTCGTGGTTGTCTTGATGGCATCCGAGATCTTCTGTACCTCCCGCAAGAATACGAGAACTTTCTGAAAGTACCGAAGATAATGGTGGGTTGGATGTGAGAAGAACGGAATTTCCAGACATCAATCTATGAGGAGACGATGACGATATAATTAAAGACACTTCTTCGGTATTTGTAGGAGTTAAAGATTGCTCAACGTCCATTAGCTCTTTCTCAATTATCTGATGTTCTTTCTGACTTCTTAAAGTTCCAAAGTGAGAAAGGGAAACTGTGGCGAGCATTTCGGTGGGCCCATAATATGAAGCCGTTCCGATCTCCGCCATAGGAAGAGGAACAGGAACTGCTGCTGCTATTCTGCGATCGAACGTTGTGAGAGAAGGCGGATAGGTAAAAGCGTTTCTTGAATAATTTGGTCTTTTCGGCTGGTTTTGATCTAAATCTTGATTTTCTGGCGACGACGATCTTTTTAACTGCTGCCACTTGGAATCTTCACAACTTGTAGAATTAGCCATGTATGGTACTGGTAAAGTTCCGTGTGGTGGTGGAGGTCCTCCGTACTGGAGGACTGTGTGACCTGGATGCTGAGAGGAACCGTTCAACGGTGCACCGGGCGGAGGTAGATGATAAGGCGAAGGATGAATGGCACCTCCAGATGGAGTCGGATGAGGATAAGGCATCATCGTAGAATAATAACTAGGCAATCTGGTAGCGTGGGCTTCGTACGCCAAACTATAGTGCATTTTGGAATGAAGAGAATAAAATTGATAGAGCCAACTGTTGGCCCTCATCACAGCCGCTTCTCTTTCACTGAAAACAAATATAAATTTTTAATTGTTTATTTGTGAAAATCCTGTAAACATTACAGTTGCAGTTTAAATATTTTACCTGAGTACTTGATTAGTGCAAACAATAACGGGTTGTTGCGAACTATCGGAACTGTCTTTCACTTGCAAAACTACGTGAACCCAAATCCACTTTCTACTTTGAGATTCCAATCTTATTAGAAGAATACAAGATCTCTCTTGTTCGGATTGCGTAACTAAGAGAAAATAAAAATCAATAAAATTAATTAAAAGTATCAAAGATATTGTTATTTTTAGAATTTTAATTAAAATACAATAAACAATTATTTATTAATAGATATTTGGCAGAGCACCAAATGTGAAGGTCGTCACGATCTTCACGCCGGCTGACACCGACAGAAACAGATTGTATTCTGAACAGGTGATGGAGTTAGTTCTGGTCAAGGGAAGTCAAACTGTCTTTCGACATGCGATAACAACACAATAGATGGAGAGAATCCTTACTGCCAGTTCATAATCTGATAGCAGTGAGTAGTAAATGGATGCAGTAAATAGGCAGTTATTATTCTGTACAGGGGCTCTTTTATTCTTTAAACTTATCCGGACAAAGTTTTTATTATCGCATTCTAAGAATGATTAAAACAATAAAGATATCGACCGCTGTATGCTGCAATTTAGATTAGAGGTTATTCTAACAAATGAAAGATTCAAAGCTAAATTGAATTTTATGGTTTCATCTCACAAAAACTAATTACTTACTTAGTCGATGCTTCGATTGGGCTTCTCTCAAATGATCACAGTGAACCAATTCGTACCACGATAATCCCTGAAGATTTGATTTTCTATATCCTAGATGAAATTCTCCACTGGAAAAGATTTGAAATTAAATAATTAATCTTGTGATATTTTAATTTTTATTTTTATAAATTAAGCTGGAGAAAAAAGTTTGAATGACTTTCATCCATAGGTTCCGGCGATTGTTTAGAGCTATTTTTGATTAGATGGAATTATCCTACACGCGAAGGGGAAATTACTTTCTGTTCGATAAAAATCTTTAATTCTAATCACTCAAGGAGGAAGCTCTTTGAAATTCCTTCTATAATTTATAAGGATCGATGGAAATGTAGGACATTTAAAATAAATCTTCATTACAATAAATTGAAATGCCGTAGACAATTTATTGAAATTCGTCGGAATCGAAGCAAAGGGGATTCATGCGTTATCCTTCATCATTTACTCGTACAAATTTCACTTTCATGCATACCATAGGCAAAACAATATCTCGCGTGCTTTCCCTTTAAAGAACAAAGCTTCGACCTCCAACGGACGAGGTTAGGAGGTCAAGGTACGTGACGCATTCTCACGTGACATCATCCGTTGTCCCTGACCCGTATCGGACTTCTATACCTCTTATTCCGAGGATAATCGTAAAAAAGAAGTTCCGGACTCGATTGGCAGAGATCAGTCGAACTGCATATTTTCTCCGTTTTCTACCAGGAAATCCAACACGGTTGAACTTTGTATAAATATATACAGCCTCTTTTATTGTGTTCCGTGCCGGATCGTGACCTTAGCTAAGTTAGTAAGCAAATTTGGATACGCTTGTCGGTGTGACAGATGTTCCGTCTCCCTATTGGTTAACGAAAGGGATCCGCGTGACGGCCGATATTTCTGCCGAATTTTGAGTATAGCTCTGATTGGCCGAAGTTGCGTAGGGAAACCATTTTGCCAAATATTTCAAACGTTAATGAATTCAGGCGGATGTATTATACGAGTTGCAATCGAAGACGATCGCTTTTATTGCATAATATCACGAAGAAAGGCCTCGTTAAATCCAGTAGGGAAGAGCCAATCTATCACGTTATGAATTATGAATAGTTCATGAACAATACGTTCGTTTAAACGTGCAGGTTACTTAAATTGAATAAAATTAACCAAATTGGAATTATTTATTATCACATCTGAAGCTTATTATTTGCATCGTCTTTCTGCTTTTTCATTAAGAGAAAAATAATGATCTTCACATAATTTTGCATACGCATTAAATGATAACTAGATTTTTATATTCACTGTTCCGTCTATAATTGTATCTCCGTTTGCTTGAAAATTACTATATTATTCCGTATGGAAAAGCAAGATTTTTTTCTAATTTCTTGAGGATTTTCCCGTGATTTCTTGCAGGAATGACTACAGAGATGGACATGAAAATATAAGAAAATTATAAATTACTTACATAGAATCGATATGTAGGAACTTCATATCCATTGAATGAATGGAGGTAAAAACATTTGTGCTTCCCTGAACGACACATTCGCGAGTCTCGGGCATGGCTACAGGGGTGCAGGTTGCTAAAAATACGGGTTCATTTCGACTACACAGTGGTAGAAAGTTGACAAAATGCCCTTGTACTAACACCACCTGAAATTTAAATATTGTATAAAATTATAATCCTCTTACTACGTTTAATAACGCGATGCATTTTATAATATTTTCGTGCTACTTTTTTAAACATTTAAATGAAATATACTATATCAAAAAGGTGTAAAGATCTAAAAAGATTTAAAAGGTTAAACGCTCTGCGAATGGTTTCGTTTGAGGAATTCAGATTGCAAAGCGTAGGTAGGAGATAAATGATGAAATATCATAGAATACACGTGAGAACGTTATTGCTCTAATCCTACTAACAGTTTACTTTTGATGGTCCAACAAAAGGTGTTCTGAATTGAGGTAAAATATCCGCCCAGGTCGGCGAAAATGGGAAATAATCACACGGTGGTCGGGAGCTTGGGCCCTCCTCCCTCTTGCTCTGACAGGTGTGTTAATGATACGGTACATATATGAGACGTCAGTTAAAGTCGACTGTGGGGGCTGCGGGGTCATATCGTTCCTAAAAGGGCCTACTTTACTTGTTAGCACTCATTAGCAAATACTAATTCAACAAGACTGAAAATAACGGCAACAATGCTTAAGTCTCAATATTATATTAACGTAAATTTACTAAGACTACATTGAAATGAAATTAATAATCGTGTTCCATCAGAATTATATGAGTAAAATTTAACGTCGATTATCTTTTGATTGGATTCCGTTCGGTCTGACTAGTTTAATTTTCTTGGATGAGATTACTCGGGATTTTTCGGTATACTAATGGGTCTAAATTTTCCTATTATTTTGTCTACAAACTGGTAATTACGTAGCCACTTGACTCAAAGAAAAATGGTTGCGTTGAGAAATGAAGAAGGGGAAATTCTTTGTCGAAAAACAAATGAAATGGTGTTTTAAATGCCTTCTGTCTCCGTTTGAAGTAAATTGCACTGGAACTGAAGATACTTAATAAGATTATCGTCGAGAGTTAAAACGGTGCTGACGCGTATCGTGCATAAGTCGCTCCAGAAATCTTTTGGTCATTACGAATGAAAGGCGCGCATCTGTCAGTGGCATTCACTATTTTCTAACATGCAGATACTCTAAACGACGGGCGTCTATCTGACACCCATCTGCTGTTTATTTGACCAACTAACGTCGAAAAGTGACAGGCAAATTATCCGCAGGATGGGCCGAGGTCTAAGTTCGAGTCGGAGGTCGGGAAATATGCGAGGATTGTAACTTCTCTTATCTGGATTGTTTCTGCGACTAAAGAAGAAAAAAGGAGTGCAAATGACGTCACGGACAGCCTCCCCTCCCAGGAACAAGTTTCTTTTCCCACGGGTCGTGACCCGAGGTCATCGACCACTAAGATTCCAGATGATCTGCCAGTCCACATTTAGTCGGTAATGCTCGGTGTGCGTGCCTGATATTCTCAGATAAAGTTCAATGCAATCTGATAAATAACCAATGATTAACATAATTGTCAATCGTACGGAGGATAAATTATCGATGGCGTCGGAATTAGTCCCGTGCGTCATGAGTCTTAAATGTTAGGAGTGACGGAATATCCATTCGGTAATTCGGGAAAGTTGCCTCCTCGATGCGAGATTCAGAAAACAACGAGAAATAATTGCGGTATTAACGGTTAATCTTATCGATGGAAGTGGCTGCTACTTACCTTCTGATCTCCGAATCTCATTTGTCTTCTGGCGTTCCTGGATACGTTCATCCTGCAGAGGAATATCCTGCTGTCGGGAATTAAACTTAGCGGATTGGGACTCCGCATTAATTCTGCCTGGATGGCTTGATGATCTTGTTTCTCGATAATATCGTACACGCTATCGCCGTGGATCAACAAGTCCTCCTAAAGAATACATAGATCAAAATTCGAATTTATTGAAAATTATCTTTTGTTTTCTTACATATTTAAATCTATTTCTTTTCTAAATTTGCATAAATTCTCAAATAATTATATTGTTTTATTTAATACTATTTATTCCCTACTATCAATTTCTTGGTTAGCCAAACTTAGTAAGAAATTGCTAGTATGAGAAGAGTAAATTTCAATGTTTATAGATTTTCATTAAGATTTCGCACTAAAAAGAATATTTTTTCCTAATATATTAATAAAATTTTCAACAAAGTATAGTTAAATGAATTGGACAATCGTCAATTCGATTGCAAATTCATTTTTAATAGAAATGTATCATTTTATCAGAGAAAATTTTGTGTGTTTACTTAAATTTTTGTTCATACTTTGTAAAGTGTATTCGGCGTGTCATTTATTTTCTCTATAAGTCTTACACATTTTTCAGCTTTGTTTTTTGAAATAATTGACGTTTTAAAATTGATTATCCAAATTTTTATAAAGGGAAAAAAATGCAACTTTCTCTTCGGCGACAATCTAATAACTCTTGTTTGAATACCGTTTTTTGGTTTTGATTTGTCTCTGAATAATCCGTTTGCAGTTTAAGCGAAAAAAATGGCAACTAGCGGGCATTTTTGTTGACAAATAATCGAATCAATCATAAGTTGCGCAGGCGGAAGCCATTCTGCTCCGAGACATGAACCCGGGACTGAACTCTTCACGGGGCAGAAGATTGACATTTTGTACCTCAAGGCGCAACGAAAGAATAATAAAAGGCTTATTGAGTTTTAGAGATCCACGCCTGTCCTATATCGAAATTTTAATTCTGGCGATTCATTGTAGGGTTGAAAAACTTTAAAAGTGAGAATGGCTCTTGTCAGAGAACTGGAAATGCGAATGCAAGTATTGACAAGGATTGTTCCTCTTCATTATTCAGTCCTGAATGCGGTGCATACAAATAAAATTATATAGAAGATACTAACGAACAAAAGCTAACTCCACCATTCACTTGCTATTTCAAAAATATTAGGTCCGTAGGCCTAGAGTGCATAATTCCTTACAGTAAATGTTTTAGCTGTTTGCAGTTTGTCTCACTTAAAAGTTTTCATGTATAAGCTATAAACCTGGATAAACTTTACTAACAGATTAGTTATTAATAACTTGTATATGACGCTTGAAGTAAATATACGTACAGTACAGTATACGAGTGAAATTTCTATGACCCGATTTTCTTTTTACATAATTTTAATATTTCATTCTTTGGCGAATATGATGAAATAGTAACTAAAGCTAGGTTTCGTGCTAAAATGCTAGCCTTGTCAAAGTCAGATTTATTAATGGTGAATTTAATCACTCAACCATCGTGTAGTCTAACTTTTGATTCATCTATCAATATATCATCAGACACATAGTCGGCACCCAAGCTTTTATTTTACCTTGGGTAACATCAAATATGGAATGGTTAACTAGGTCACAGAGAATATTTGGAGACAAATATGCCGTTTTTTATTCTCCTTAGACAGCCATTCACATTTTAAAGGGAGTAAAATAATTTTGCAGAACGAATCGTTTAATTTTCTAGATATATAAAAAAATGCTTCATAACATTTTTTTACTCTCAGCAGACTCCATAAACCTAATTGCAGCAATAACAATCGAGACAACGCCTAATAAAATTTATTAAAAGTTCACGTTTTGGAAATGACCAAACAAACTGGTAAAAAGAAAAAAAATGTTATGAATTTCTGTCGATATATCTCCGAGCAATTTTCGTAACAACTCTAGAAAAATGTGATTCGGCGGAGAACAAATAAAAGAATGAAAGAGTAAGTGAACGATTTACTTGGACATCAAACATCCATTATCTATATCATGTTATTAATTACAGTCTACATAACCTGACAAGGTTTGTATAGAGAGAACGTGACCAAAGCTCATGAGAGGGAGGTTCTAAAAAAATCGCAGATAACGGAGATAATATCGCGAGTGAATTCTGAAGGGCGTGTTACGTAGACCTATATTAGTTAAAGCACCGTTAGGCAAGAGCAATACTTAACCTATTCATAATATAAATTAAGAACATAACAGTCATCACGGGTGCCGAATCTAGTTGCACGAAAGGAGCGCAATTTCTCTTTATTTGCGCTCCAATCATTGAAGAATAGAAAGTCGAAAAGAACCGTAGAAAACCGAATTAGAAAGTATTCTAGAAGGACCACCGAAGAGACTTCGTATATTTTGCAACAGGCAATCGATTGCGCAACAAAAACGTTTCTCTTTAATTTATTTCTCATTCAACAATCATCAGAAATAGATTTCCTCATCCACAAACATCTACTCCACCCTACTAGGAAGTCCTCTTTTTAATATTCAGCCTTCACAAATCCCAGAAACGGTCCTTTGATCTCCGGTTGACGTCACTGCCGAGTTTGTCACGTGACCCAAATTGAGTCGAACTTTCTCGGAGCGAAACCGTGGGAGAATATTCTAGGAAAACAACAGCAGACGAGAGCATCCGGGTATGTTGTCCGTGAGCCGCCCAGATCTGGAATTTCTCGCTATTAGTATTCCGGATGCTCAGATGCCACCGTAGAACGTGTGTTTGACGAGATATTTGGATGGACCGAGAGGGAACGTTCTTGAATATTTTTATGCAAACCTGTTCTGGTGCCGAAAGAGAAACTGATGACTTTTCAAATGATTCGAAATGAACGTTTTTCTATCGACGGAACCGAGAAAAAGAGTTATATGAATAATTAGGAGGTTAGCGTGTTTGGTCCGTCACGCGTCGAGGCTCCATCTCCATCAGAACTGCTTTTTAAAAAAAATATAAAATTCATCTTTTCGTACTCCGTTTCTTTAATCTTTGCGCATTTGTAGTGTGACGTAAAAGCGCAATTAACGCGTGGAAAGGACGAATGGCCTGTTTAAAACATCCGTAATCTGTTGAGTTTATGTCATTTCGTTTAACACTTGTACTCGGTCACGGCTCATCCAGGCCGTTGCAACACGTTTATTTAAACTCATAAACATAAATTAAAAGAAAACAATGTATTCCAGTGAATCATCTTTCTATGTCAAGTTCAAAGAAGTGACGATGTCGCTATTAGTTACGCGAGTTTCTAAATAGAGTTTCATCGAAGGTGAAACTCACTTTAGGCGGAGGTGGTACCCGTAGTGGTGCCAGGAAAAGTGTGACACCAAAGGTCGTGACGGCTGCCTATTCGACCTTTGACTTCTAGTCAACCTACTTCACGACTGACACCGGGCGCTGGAATAGGCCTCCCTCTACCCAATTCTGTCATCTCCCACGCACCAAGCAATTGCACTTCCGGGCATGGCTCGTCCTTGAGACGAAGCTAGGTGGTCAACGTTTGACATCATCTTCCACACTTATTTATCTCGTCGGAGACGAAAAGTCTGTCGTACTTTCTCAATTCCGAAAAATGCTATTAACTCGATTATTTATTCCACAGACGTATGCTACATCCTATTATCGATTGCCTCCCAACCATTACTAAAGTATTATCTAACTCTAAGATAATTATAGAGTCGCGCGCTTTGAATATTTTAAATTTACAAAAAGTAAAATGCGGTCTTCTTTTTTTGAATTATTTTAACTCTCGTATAAAATCTTAACTGAAAAATGGTGGAGTCTGAAGTTGGAAAGTTTTTGATATCGTATTGTAATCGGGAGAATCGAAGAAGCTGGAATATCTGAGCCATTAAAGCTGGACCAACCTCGCTCTTTACAGCTTATCGATCTGTTATCAAGTCGAATGGATATTTGAGTCGAGCTTCCAAGTGAATCTAATCATTCGTAATAGCAATTATTGCTGCAGTTTTCAACTGAGGAAATAGTTCCGAGAATATGTAGTAACGAGGCGTCCTTGAGCATTATCTCTACTCTTTTTCTGCCCAAGAATAACAATTATCTAACTGGCATGAGGACAATTATATTTTGGATGTGATTGCTCCACTTTCGTTGATCGTTCGGATGATAAATATCATTAAGTGCAAATTTTCATATCGGGAGGAATTTTAAATGGATCCCAGATTCCTAATGGCTTGTAATTTTGTTTAATTGGAATTAAATTAATGGAAAAAATATTTGGGAGTTGGAGTGGAACGAATTCTTATGTTCGTGATGCGAATGATCCACTAAACGAAACTTATGAAAACCCGGAAGAAGGGAAGGAAGGAATTAATAAATTGTCGGACTGCTTACGAGTTGTAATTGTCGGCTAGAAGCTGAGAAAGTAAAACAGAGAGTGTGGCCCCGGGTAAGAAGAGGGTACTGACAGGGTCGGTACGAGGTCGTCTGTCAGAAGCATTAGCACCAGGTGGCTGCGGTGCCGGATGTTCGTGATGCCGACAGATGGCATTAAGTGTAAGAGATGCAATAACAATATTAGTAACAAAACAATAGATTCGTTTTGGTTGCCTACATCCCAAGATCGATATTTTGGTGACTTAAAAATGTCCATGAGAAAAACATGATATTTGCAGTCTAGGTTTATAGATGATTTCTATAGTTCGAGATGAAACAGAACCCAGTCGGCCTCAACTTCCTCCATTGTGCGGCAGAATTTGGATTTGAGGGCCGTGAGAGGTGCCCCCAGTGCCACCGAGCAGATGGCTCCCGTTGGTCCGTCTACAGCACCCCATAATTTCGGCGCATCTGTCCACGGTGAAGTCTGGTGGACCATGTGACCTCACCGTTATTACAGAAGGGGCCAAGGGCTACTTAATGGCTGGAAATTGGAGTGATTTGGTAGAATGGTGGGAACATCTACCCAAAGGAACATTTATCAGAGCTACAGGTAACACTAGATGGTGTGATTCAAGTCGTTAGCTCTATAGTTGGTTCATTAAGTTGCTGGTTATATTTCTAAATGGCCATTGAGACTCGAATTACTCTAAAGAACCAAAGAAATTTCGTCATAATATCCGTTGTTTTCTTTACCGTAGAATGTCAAAATAGATCTTGATTTATAATTTCGTCTTCCAGATTGAATTAATAGAAAATCGCTTGTATTTTCTCATGAATTAAATGAATTAACATTGTAGTCATTCGATAACTTAATTTTATAATCAAACATAATATTATTCTTACACATTACAAATTTTGTAAACTGTTCGCATGATTTACCTATGGAAAAATTCTGTTAAATTGTTATAAACATCACCGTAAACGAAAACTAAAAAGTAAACTTTTATACTTTTGTTTCTGTCGAGCAATAAAATTTAAAAAATAATCTTTCCTAATAAAATACACTATGTAATATTTATTCCATTTTCTTAACTGCTAATCGAATTGTTTACCAATTACCAGTTTAGAGATATTTCCAATTTTATAAGATGGCACATCATTCATGATTTGACAGCTGATAAAGGAATTAATCATTTTCGGGGGTTTAAATTAATAATTCGATATCGATAACCAGTTCAGAGTGACGTAAAAAGTTAGATTGGAAGTGACGTCACAGATATTTAATTTAACCAAGCCGGCCAACGTATCTGAAATTATGGCGATAGAATGCGAGATATATTTCATTATTCCGAGAAAATGAAACGATCACAGCTTTATAATGTTCAAAAGTAAAATGAGCACTTACCATAGAATGTCCCAAATATTCGGCAGCGTTGTCAGATATATACAATAGCTTTCCATTTTGTGTCATCATCATTAAGAATCCGTTCAGCGCCTACAGTACAGAAAAAGAATCGAATTAGCTTTGTAATGATACACACTATAATCCTCGAGATCATTTGCTCGTCACACTTCCTGAACGTTCAATTTAAGTTCTGGAAAAGGGAAACACTCCCCATTCCTGTTTTGTAGAGAGAATAAAATTCCATCAAATTTTAATAAATAGATTTTTGATCTTCCTCACCCGTGTTATCGATTTTAAATTCAGTGCTTAACATTATACACGAATAACTTTACGTTAGCTCATTACAAGGAATTAAACATTTTCTCTACATTTAACATAATTTTTGTATGTTTAAAAATAAAAAATACTAATTTTTATGTCCGCATCTATAATAAGTATCTATCATTATTTTCATACAAGTAACCTGTATGGTCTATTGCCTAAAATGTTTTTTTCGGATGTAGATTTTGTTTGGAAGAATATGTTAAATCTCCCAAAATTTCTTCTTCCTTAGAAATTTATTCATCCGAAAATGTTCTTTTTCTTCCTCTTTGCTGTTTTCTGTTCATGTATTGGAAATAAACTTTATGTTATGTAAGGTCAGAAGACAGAAGGCAGCATTGACGGATTTATAAACAAAGAATTTAATGAAGAAAGTATAAAGATTACACTACAAGTACTGTATATGCATTTTGAATCCGCACGTCTTGCTGGTACGAAGTGTCTCTGACAACTAACTTTTTGCTTTTTGATGTAAAAATTCAAAAATCTATTAATAATTATTGGATTAAAGTGTATATACGCTTAATTTAATATCATTTCAATAATTTCCATCGATAATTATTCAGTCTGAAAATGTTTGCTTATCGGCTAATTAATTATCTCTTCAAGAAAAAAAAAAGCTAAGGTATGGAATCGATTGCACGTGCTTAGTTTGAGCAATTTCTAAATTAACTTAAATTGCAGGTGTTCATATGACGAAATATTCTGTTCGTTTATTAAATTCTTCTCTAATAATAATTTTAAAAATATATAAATATATTGGTGATTGATCTGGACATTTTTCTATAAACTTCGAAGATTAATTTGAAACAACTTTTTAGTAGTTTTCTAATTTTTTTCGGACTTTAAAAATCCTCTAGAACATTAAGTGTAACTTTACAATTCTATGACAAAGATTTTTCCTTAATTTCATTTATTTTTGATTAAATTTAATCAATAAAACCATTCAAAATATCAAATTTTTTAGGCGATAAGTAAGAACTTAAATTATATAATTTAAGTCATATGTTGATATTAAATTATTAAAAAGTAATACGATTATATTATCGTTTACAAATGAAAGGGATCGTGAATAAAGGTGCAGCGTGTAGGAAGTAGCAAGACCCCTCCGAAGGGGACGAGAGAGTCATCAAGAAAAGTAATAAATTATCAAAATTTAAATAAATTTTTAAATAAAATAAACTAAGAATCAGAAAATTACTTCTTTAATATACAGTAGAAAAAAAAATTCGCCCTTCACCTTCGCGAAACCATAAAAATCGAATTTAAAGCAATAAAAATCTGGAATCTTACAACTTGATTTATAAAGTAATAATTAAATAATGAAAAAATGGTATATACTTGTAAAAATCAATATTTTAAACTTATCAGTAGTAATAGTAAAACCATTAATTCATTTTGTATTAACATTAATATTTGTTTCACTAATGCAATGTGTACAGTTTCGCTTCCATCAGAATATAGATTAAAATAAGTAACAATTAAATAATAGAACCTTCCTTTGTATTTTTTACCTTTACTTCGAATCAGAGAATAAATTTTTTTATCCACACTGATTGATTTCAGAGAGGTTTAATCAGCGTGAATAGGCCTATAATAGGTAATATTATGACCGTATGGAACCCATTATCCGTTGTAAAAGCAGTATTGAGACTAGTCATAGAGTACATTATGCATTGATAGCGTCAAAACATTAAATTTCGACCCTGGTGATATTTCATAAACGTTTTGGATTAGGAATTGGTACCACAGTCGTATTGGGTGCCTCTATTGTAGATTGCGTGTCTTAATTGACAACAGTGTGTCCGAATCGATGTAAAACCAAATCCTATTTTCTTTACTGTAAATTCTACCGAAGACACGATTCAAATAAAATAAGAAAAAAATTCATTTTCCTATTGTATTTTACTTTGTTTTAATCAACATGATCCAGTTTAAAAACTATTTAGAGCCTTTACAATAATTGACACTTCTCCGAGATATGAATGCTAATTCCGACTTTTATGATTGATCGAATCGGGTGAAGCTACTATAATTAATTATTAATTGTGTGTCGATGTTCCCGAAAATTATTTTTAGGCGATCTTCATTTAGAGCTATGTGAAAATTAAGATGCGCATCGGTTCCCATACACCATTCCGAAGACAATGACTCGGAATGATGTATATGTCATTCCTTCTCTATTGTTCCGACAATTAGGTCTATCTAATGATGGCCTTCTACGTTACCATTTCCTTCCTAAATCTCTTCCTCGTTCTTCATCATTCTAACAGTTTTGCATCCTCTAATAAATAAGCATAAGCTTATGTATATATTTCTCAGAGAGGATGCAAAAATGAACGAGATTATAAATAGCACTAAAGGAATGTACATGATTATTATTAAACACGCAAGCTTTTTTATTAAAACTTCTTCGATAGTGTGCTTATATACATTGATAGAACAATAAGTCCAAAGATACTGTATTTCGCAAATCCTTGAGTTGCAGCCTAAAGTTTGCACCTTGGCCTCATCTGGTGGTACGGCCCTCTTTTGCATAATTATCTGGCAGTGTTTTGACAAATATGGAATTGTTGTGTTTGCAGAAACAATATAGGTTTATCCGTTAGCCTAAGAAGTATTCTATTGTTGCACGAGAAAATGAGAACAGAGATAAGATTCATTAGATTCTGTCTCCCTTCCCTTCCGAGCCGGTTGGAAAGTTTCTAACAATCTTTAACCTTTAAACGTCCATAAATAAATTCGACAACCTAAAAATGATTTCCACGTCAAATGTTACTGATATAATAAACTCGATCTTACAGAGCATTAAGATAAACGAATTGTTTTCAAAGCGTGCTACGCAACAATCAATTTACATCGAACTTGATTGCATCTAATGAGAGAACTTAACAATAAGTACAGTACATCACTTCATGCATCATTTCAATCCAATTGCGTCTAGTTATTTCTATATAAATAGACCTCTTAACGTGGGAATTATAGACCTATACCTTCATTTAATGCACACCTATGTTGAACTTTAATTGTCGCAGCCTTATTTTTTTCGGCGGTAGATTTAAAGTTAAGCTTTGATTATTAGGTAATTATTTTATAGATGAGCACATGATAATTTTAATCACAATGTATTAATTTTCACGATTACATCTAGAGTTATAAATAAGAGAATTAAGGATATTTATCAATTAATATTACTGTAATAGCATCCTAGGAAGGGATAGGTTTGTCGGAATTAACAATGTTATTTATAGATTGATGCATCTCGTGATTATTGTAAAATTGAAAACAGTCGAAGATTAATTATTTTTAGAAATAAATGATAAAGTTTCATTTGTTAAAATTATATGCTTTTCCTTGGGAGAAAAAAGAGAGAGAATGAAGGGCGTGATTGATTTCAGCAACACGTTTAAATTTGAATCTGACAGATCAGAAACGTGTTTTGTATTAGAAACATCCCCATCGATCTTCTTTCATTAATTTCAGAGGATAAGGCTCCAGTCCTCGAAATAGCAATGACAACTTGAAACTACTGGGCGAACAACTATGCTATTTGTACCGTGAGATACGTATTTCTCCTGTTCTCCCTGACCGCTTTCGCATATTTCCTTCCTACTGCCCTACTTTTTGTCGAGTGGAAAGCAAGTTCAACCCTTTCTTTTTCACTTGTTTATTAAACTAATGCCTTCTAGACCATAGATTAATCATAATTTTTGGATCCACATCGATTACTCTCTTTACCTCGTATCAATGCAATATCCTTGTTCCTCAGATAAATTGCAATCTGCCGTAGTTATCTTGGAATAGGAACGGTCTAATTTCCATACCAGACGATATTGTGTTGAGTCTTGCGGCCTACATATGTTCGGCAGTTTAGTAAACAGCTTGTTTATTGTACGCGAAGAAGGCAAATTTGGCTATTTGGAATTCTACAAGTGACAGGCGTGCAAAAAATATTATTTTAATTTTATCGTGCTAAGTTTTCGAGCTAAAGCAATTTTTGAAAAATGCACCGATTAGCATGATGCACGAAAATTAACCTTTAGTAAAAAGCAATCGGTTTTGTTTAATTATCTCATGATGATTCGTTAATCAATTCAAACATAAATTATAATTTACAAAAGAGGATTAATGGTGCGCAAGTAGCGAAAGTCGGAAAATAATAACCTTTAAGCGCTCCACCCAAAAAATGTTATTTTTCTTGCAGAAAAATCTCACGATAAATATTTCAAAAAAATTTTAAAGGAAACACCAGCGCTCAAACATTAACCTCGATAAGTCATTGGCACCCTGCGGACATTATCGACTATTAATTACAACTACGGGCTTCTCACGCCCTCTACCACTACCCCTTTCTCTCCTTGGGGTATTCCTTATTCGGTCCCCCTACCCCTCCTCCATTGTTACTCCGTCACGGAAAAGCTCGGTCGTGCACATGTAACCGTGGCAACGGTAGCGGGAGCAGGTGGGTCCGTCCTCCTGCACCTGCAGCGACACCTAGGTAGCCTGTTGGTAGCCGGTCACGATGCTGCACAATGCTAGTGCTGTATGATCGTGACATCGCAACGAGAATCGCATCTGAACTTTATTATAGCAGCAGCTTCTTCCCTAAACTAGTTTGAACGCGTCTCTACTAAAGGACATTGAAAGATAATCACCCCGAATCTGATTAATCTAATTTTTGGCTTCCGTCAAATTAAACGTGATTTCGATCCTCCGGCTAAGGTTGGTCATCCATAATTCAGATTGTTTAATTACTTTGTGTTTGTTTTCGCACGGATACTAAAGACCTTGGCATCTCTTTGGCTGTCGCCTTTCTTAACCGTTGCTACTACCTCCAGGCGTGTAATACTTACCTCCAGGTTAATCTGAAACAAATTTTAAATTACTAAGCAATGTATATCGTAATTTTTGAACATGTTCTAATGGACTCAGTGAATTAAAATTGCACGTACGCATTTTGCACGTATGCATTACCTAATTGAACGATTATTATTTTCCATATAAGTCCCCTAAGTGAATGCAGAGTGAAATAAAAATTTATAAAAGAATACAAGTTTGCTCCGATAAATAAACGTGGAACGGGATAAAGTAAGTGATTTACGGTGTTATTCTATGTTATGTGCACTTCGGATACATAAACACCCTGGAAACCGATTCGATAAAACAATTACACCACGTAATTTCCACCGGAATACACAGGATTTTTTTCAATATAAACCCATAGTTTAGCATTTAGATAATCAAGAAGGTAATGACGCCAAATGAAGTCGTTGCCGGGTTTAAGGGCATTATCGGTCTTTCTTTGTATTACAGAGCGAACGAAACTCTACGAATTTCACACGGCAGACGAGGGTATAAAAACCCGCAAATGGCAGAAACGAGTTTGCAGATTCCTTGCCCGAGGGTAGCGCGGTCTTCCATTCCATCCAATGAAGTACATGTGTAAATGTACCGATCTTTGGCCTAATTCGCCGGCTTCAGTCTCGCACGCACGCATACTGTGTAATTTTATAGCGGTGTCTGGCGAGAAATCACCATGACCATGCTTTTTTCCTTCTGCTCTGTTTGCGCTTCTGTTCGTTGCCCCGGAGGGACAAGAGACTCTCGGAACCTAGTTAGCAATCGTTTCCAATTGCTCCCGTATTAATCAATAGTTTTAAGAGCAACGGGTTTCACCTTGCCGGTCAATCGATTTATTTTTAACCGGAAGAAGTGTGGCCTTTTAAAACTAGCCCTCTTCCCGTTGGCACCGTCGGAAATTTAGCAATGGAAGGTTTCCCTGGTATAAAAACTAGTAGAGTGAGCTCCGGAGGGAGTTAAATCAATGTTAGTCGATGATCTTCGTCGGCAAAGTTTATCCACGCGCAGAGCCCTCATCATTAAATGGCCACCAAGGGCACGGATGAGCCGACGGGCGGTACTACGGGTCCGAACGGTGAACTAATGATTTGGCGACGACATCTGGTCAAGTAATTAGGTAGTCACGGAGACACAAGAATGGATAGAAGAGATGGCTGCTTACCTTCGAGAAACCAAAGTGGGGAATGGAGGCCTCGGGCAGAAGATCGTGTTTATGAAGAACTGCAAAAGAAAAAGGATCTCAATTAATAACATGCCACTTGATATTATTTAAAAGTAGATTAATACGAAAGAAAATATTATCGAGCTTTTGCATTCTCTTGCTTATATTAATCGATTTTTCTCAAGAAATGCAGAGATAGAACGTCATCATTCATTCAAGAAAGTCAGATTGGTTGCTTCTGTGGCGTGTCACAATATCGTAATATTTTTATGCAAAATTATCGCAAAAAATATTACATAAATCCAATTTACATTACCTTTAACCAATGGTAATACTAATGAAATATACAGGATATTTTTCGGTTAAACAATGGAAGCTTATACATAAAAGGTAAATCGTATTCTACATCGTCCAGTCGACTGATCCAGTCGAATTAGAACTTCGCGCCATTCTAAAAATAACCCTCTCGCGTAAATTTCACGAACTCTCAACCGCAAACAAGTTGGTGGTAATGATAAGTGCGTGATAGACGAGGTTGTTCTCACGCCAAAAGGAGGGTCGTGACCTATTTGGTCGTTGGGCCATCTTCACCCCCGCATTCTATTCTCGTGACCGTCGAATAAGTTCTAACTTGCCTTCTATTGGACTTAGATGTTCGGAAATGCGTGGTTATACTTTTTTATTTTTATTTTTCAGAAACTCTAGTTTACTGCGTATAAGGTACTCGTTCTAAGTGATATATTGTTTTTTTTAATAAATGCTTAAATTATAGGGTCACAATACTCATTAAATATTTTCTTATTTGATATACTGCTCTAGAATTAAATGCAAGTAAAAAAAATTGGAAGCTGGATAATAACCGAAAATAGTCCTGCTTTAAAGATAATGATCAAAAAAGAGACGTCGAAATTTTCGACGAGGAAGTAAAAAATAATGAAGTTATTAAATCGGAATTCGCGCTAAATTATTTATATTTAAAAAGAGAACAATTTCGAAAAAGAAGGCAAGTTTCGGCAGGAAGTTATTTCTTCTTTTGAAGCGATTGTTAAGCACTTTCTTCGTTGAAAAAAGCACAGGAAAAAAAAAAGAGGGAGAGAGTATTTCTCTGCACCGAACACTGCAAAAGGCACCATACGAGGATAATTAGGGAAGGGACAAAGCCAAGAAGAGTCTTTGTTCCTCTCGAACAACTTTTTCTATATCCTTATCATAAATCACGCGTATTCCCAGAGTGAAATTCTTAATAATAATCTGCTGCACCGATTGAATAGTGACAAAAGCCCGACCGAATAGCCGACGCAACGTCTATCTAGGGCTGTGTTTGTTTGTAGAAACGTAGCCACACACGGAGTTTTTCTGTCGGGTCCCCTTCGTTCCTCGATTGTCCCTATCCTTTACCCCAAAGAATAAATTCCGCCGTAACTCGGAGGGGTAATTAATGTTAGATCCTAAATTGAATTCCGACAGCTTCTCGAAAGACCCTTTTTTTTTCTCTGGCCAAACTCGATTCTAGTTACGTTTCCGGAACCAGAGCGGCCGGTCGAACGCGTGGCAAAATCAGCGGGGGATCCTTTCTAACAATTTCTACTTTGGGGTTCTTCGCTCGAGAAAAGCAACGCCTCTTCTCTGTTTATCTCCGTTTGTTTACCGACCGGATATCCGAGAAGCGCCGATTCGAGTGTAGAATAAATATCGAATGCTGTCACTTCTGCCCGGACTCGAGCGTTGACATTTGTGTAGCCTTGACCCAGTCGAGTTAGTCAACATCAATTACAATAGATCACATCCAGTCGCGTCGGCAGGAGGGATGCCGGCCTGTCAACCGCTTCCACAACTCTCCATTTGATAAACATAACAAAATAAGAAATTTTTTCCCCTAAGAGAAGGAAAAGACGTAGGGGAATTTCCCCGTTCGGTTTTCTAACAGGATATTTCGTAAGTAATAACAATAATTTCCAGCTTAAAAACGTGCGGTATTTGTGTTAGACACTACGCTTTTCTCTGCCATGCAAATATCCTAAAACAGCATCACTCATAACCTTCAATGATAATAAACCTAGTTCTCGTTTTCATTGAAAGCAAGAATGAAAATTAGGTTGAGAGAGAATAAAGGAAAAGAAAAAGAGAAAAGATTCTTCTTTAGATAATTTGCATAATGCGGATCTTTATTTTGTGTTTTAAAATGCAATGCGGAACTCTGACGAATAAAATTAGTCAAATAGAATTTTATAGGCGTCGATTTAAATTTTCACCTCAATATCTCTTGCCTTTAAAATTGGTAAATTTTTAAATAACATTTGAATTTTGTCTTAAAAAACCGGCAATCCATTAATCTTAATTCTATATTGCCAGACTGGCTACCATTTATGTTTATAAGCTTTGAGGAATTTTCGATTCGAGAATATTTACAATTCGTAAATTTGTGTCAGAAATATATATATATATATATATATATAAACAGAAACGGCCTAGAACCAGACGCGAGGAGGAGAGACAAGGTTACGAAGGGAGGGTGCCACGCACGTGCCATCCAGGGCGTGGTCCGTAGAAGATCCTGCTTGGAGTCCCGGGAGTGGCAGGCTCAGCCAAGGCGGGGGAGGCATCACACCGAGCACCAGATCTTATCGCCATCCGGTACGAAGGAACACTATCGTTTCCATCGCCGCCTTCATTTACCTAACCGATTTTACTTTCCGCTATCGAAACCTGCAGCCACAGGTTGAGCGCTAAAGCGGTCGACTTGTTGATCCCATCTTTCTTGTTTTCCAACGTCTTTTTCTCTTTTATTTCTTTTTTGCGCCACAAAAATAATATTTAGCAGATTAAGGTAAGAAAAGTTTTACGAGCCGAGTACCATGTCCGCTGTAATTGTTTGCCACGTCTCTTTATTGAATTCCGTATTTTTTCGACCACGTAAACGTGCCAGAATGGCATCGACGCCTAAACGCCGCGTTATTAAAATTACTCTACATTTGAATAAATCCGGATGCAAGAACCAGTCTAATTACAAAAATTAACAGGAAAATTACGTGTCGCCAGCCCGAAATGCCTGGTAAATGATGTTTCCGCAAAGAACATTTGAATATTTCCATCCAGATTAGAGGATCGCTTCATCTTTTTCAATTTTTTAAAAATAATACTTTGGCCAGTGGATAATTATAAATTCCCATCTTTGCAGGCGCAATCAAACCAAACTAGGACTTTTGTATAGCACTCCTTAACCGACTTAACTTATGGAGACTGCGATCCTGCAACGGACTGTACACGGGATAAAAGGCCAGTACGTCAACCAGTTTTCCGGTTTGGCATCTAGCCTCATAGCATTTCAGGGATGTTGTAGGGGCGAGGCAAAAGATCGTAAAATGACTCAGACAGTAATTCCCGTGCAGCCCGTTGTCCAAAAGGGTCAAGGATGTGGGTGGTGGCGCGTGGCATGCAGCACCCTTTTCTTGACGGCCTGGATGGAGAAGATAGACAACGACTGTCAAAAAATAAAGTTTAAGAAATTAAAACAAAGAAAAGGTAAATGGAAGGGGCGAAGCGCTGGCTAAAATGTTTCGCAGATGTTTTAAAGATGCAGATTTTAATCTCTACAATCTTAACGACGTATTTATTCATCGATCCTTTTTTTAACATGCCCGTTTACTCGTTTGTTATCGGATAATACTTACACGGTGTCGTTTTCTCGAGTTAAACGGATTTCTGTGGAGTAGACAAAGGAGACTGCCGATACGCCGCAACTAGATCTAAATATGGCACGCTTGTCAGCCCGTAGTAATCCCTAATTATAATATAAATGCGCCCCGTAATATGTTAATGGCGCTATTACCACGCTGACAGAGTATAATGTTTCTTGGTTAAGTGGTTTTGGAATGTCTAGGATGTTGCACGCTCTAGGCTTCGAAGCATTTCAGATATCATCTTAACTTTCCAAAGATCACGTTCAGAACAGCATAGGGTTATGGTGGGCATAATAGCCTACGAAACGAATTTTAGAAGGCCTAATAGAGCAATTTTTAGGTTGGGTTCTATCGTATCGTGCATGGGTCCATCGTCTAGACTGGATCCTGGCGTGGGTGCTAATTTCGCCCCGAGCTAAATAAAATACCACCAAAATAAGTGCGATTTCTGTCCGATTTTCAACGGGATTAACGTAGCCAGATAATAATTAATAAGCGTATTATGAGGAAAAAATGCAAAAATTTTCCAATTTAGAGAGGAAACGAGAGAGGCCAGCGTCCGTTTTCATGCGAAGGGCGTAAGAGAGTAGAAATAATTAGATGGGGATGCAGCTAATGGAATCCGTTGTGCCCATCACGTGACTAACATCCTGCTGAATGCGCCATCTACGCGTGTGTGTCGAGTCGACCGGGCACACCCAGCCAAGTAGGTCCCCCTCACTTATTCCCCTTTTACTTTTCCGCGTTTAATAGCAGTCCGCCCCGGTCGCTGTTTAATAGTCGGTTGGAGAAAAAGCCAAAACAAAACACTTTTGCCTTCGAAAAAAAGAACAAAAATTACCTCGATTTTTGCTTTATTTAATAGTAAAATTCCTCGTACTCCCGTGGCTTCCATATTCCAATAATCGTCATTAATTCAGCCGCTACTGTTAATTAACAATTCCGATAGGGTCGAAGATAGTCACATCATCCCGGCAACGTAGCCTAGCGAAACAGGTTATGATTGATTTATGCATTAATTGTTATTTTAATTTCGGGCGAACCTAAATGCAAAGCTAATGTAGATCCGTAACGTAACTTATAATCTGCTAATGCCATTCGCATTAATGCATTAAATAACAGTAATGTAGAGACAGTAATACATAAGTATAGAGTCGGAAAGAAGTAATCTCACTCCATTTCTTCCTTAAATAAGGAAAAATATGCAATAAATATCCAGGAAGAGTTGTTGCAGTCGACTCCCTCTTGTGATTTTTAGGAAAGGAAATTACTATATTTCCTTCCCTAACTAGTTCAGTATCATTTCATTTTTATGTACTCGCATTTCTTACTCCGATTTGAACGTTAAGAGCTCTGCACGTTTTCTTTAGATCTACTTT